AGAGGCGCGGCGGGGCCGGGGCCGGTGGGAGCAGGTGCCTCGGGCCGTGCTAACCCTCGCTTCCCCGGTGCCCCGGTTTCGCCGGTGCCCCCGAACCCTCTCGCGGCTCTGCCGCATCTCCAGCCTCGTTCTCCGCCGCTGTCCGCGGTGCTGAACGGCCGGGACGAGCTGGGGCACCGGGGCCGGTCAGCTCCCGGTGAGCCCCCGGTGGGCCCCCGGTGAGCTGTACCGGGCTGAGCCGCGGCTTCTCGGCGTGGAACCCTCGCGTTCCCGGGCGGAACGGCCGCGCCGAGCAGCGGCGGCACCGGGGCCGGGACGGCGGGGGGATCCCGGGGCGGAGGCGGGGACGCCCCGAGCACCGGCAGCTCCGGGACGGGGCGGTCACGGTGGGACCCCCATCCCGGCCGCGGCTCGGGGTCCGGGCAGGGCGGGCGGTGCCGAGGTCAGAGCGCAGGCCGGGGCCGCAGACGCCCCGAGCGCAGCGGCGGCACCGGCCAAGTCCTGTGAGTCATAGGATGGAGGCACCGGAGCTGGCAGCGCCGCGCTCGATGCAGGGTGTTCCGTCGGGGCACCGGCACCGCTGCCAAACGGTGAGGTGGCTGCTGGGGCTCCTCACTCCTGTTGGCAGCCCCCGAGTGCGCCGCACTGCTGGCACTGCCCCCGAGTGATCCACACCCCTGCCCGCAGCCCCCCGAGTGCCCCGCATGGTGCCCGCAGCCCCCCGAGTGCACCGCACAGCTGGCATTCTCCCCGAGTGCCCCTCATGGTGCCTGGAGCCCCCCGAGTGCACCGCACGCTGCCAGCCGAGCGCAGCCGAGCTGACACCGAGCGCCGGTGCTGCAGGGGCCGGACCAGCGGGGCAGAGCCCGGATCAGTGGGGCAGAGCCGGGATCAGTGGGGCAGAGCCCGGACCAGCGGGGCAGAGCCCGGATCAGTGGGGCAGAGCCCGGACCAGCGGGGCAGAGCCCGGATCAGTGGGGCAGAACCCGGACCAGCGGGGCAGAGCCGGGATCAGTGGGGCAGAGCCCGGATCAGTGGGGCAGAGCCGGGCACGGGGGCTCACCCGGCTCACCCGGCCCTGGCACGGTGTGTCCCGCCCGGGGCACGGGGGTGGCGGGCACGGCCCCGCCCGCAGCGAGCAGCACACGGTGCCGTGCCCCGTGACGCGATCCGGCTGGCACCGAGGGCTGGCACCGGCCCCGTTCCCGCGGCGGCGGGCAGAGCCCTCGGCAGGGGCCGGGCTCACCCCGAGCCCCGGCTGCAGCCCCTGCTGTGCCCGCTGCCCCTGGGGACGAGTGGCCCGTTCCACGCGGCTCCTGCCGTGCTCGCAGCGCTCTCGCTGCTCACAGAGAGCCCCCTGCACGATCACAGGCAGCTGCAAGAGGCTCAGAGCTGCAAATCCCTGCCACCCCCAGCACCCGCCCCGCTGGCTGCACAGAGCATGAGCCCCACACAGAACGGGGGCTCCGAGGTAATGGTGCCATCCGTGCATGTCCCATCACTGTGTGACACACAGAGCCTGAGCCCTGCACAGAGCCTAAGCCCCACACAGAACCAGGGCCCGAGGCACTGCTGCCATCCCTGCACGGTCACATCACTGTGTGACACACAGAGCCTGAGCCCCACACAGAACCGGGGCCCTGAGGCACGAGTGCCCATCACTGTGTGACACACAGCCCCACACAGAGCCTGAGCCCCTCACAGAACCGAGACCCCCAGGCACTGCTGCCATCCCTGCACGGTCACATCACTGTGTGACACACAGAGCCTGAGCCCCGCACAGAACCGGGCCCCCAGTACAGCCCCCATGCACAGCCATCCGTGCATGTCCCATCACTGTGTGACACACAGCCCCACACAGAGCCTGAGCCCCACACAGAACCTGGCCCCGAGGCACTGCTGCCATCCATGCACGGTCACATCCCTGTGTGACACACAGCCCCAGCCCTGTGCTGCTGCACCGGGCATTGCTGGGGGGCAAAGGGCTGCAGCTGCAGCCCCTCCTGTCTCTGCCTCACCCCGCAGGCCTGGGCAGCATTTGCCCCCTCTGTGTGCCAGGCTGTACCCACCCGGCAGGAGCAGCCCCAAAGCTGGCTCAGCACAGAACCAGACCGTGGGGAGGATGAGGAGGGAGGAGGGCAGATGGTGAACACCCTTCTGAAGGCCACGCTGGCAGAGCCCAGGGGCTGCTGCTGCAGCATGGGGATGGCTCTGTCCAGCTGTGTGGGGCTGCAGCAGTGCAGGTGAGGGGCCAGGGCTCCACAGAGCTGAGAGGAACCACCATGGTGCCACCAGATCCACCGTGGTGCCACCAGATCCACCGTGGTGCCATCAGACCCACCGTGGTGCCACCAGATCCATGATGGTGCCACCAGATCCACCGTAGTGCCATCAGATCCACTGTGGTGCCACCAGATTCACTGTGGTGCCACCAGATCCACCGTGGTGCCATCAGACCCACCGTGGTGCCACCAGATCCACCTTGGTGCCACCAGACCCACCGTGGTGCCATCAGACCCACCGTGGTGCCACCAGATCCACCTTGGTGCCACCAGATCCACCTTGGTGCCACCAGACCCACCGAGCCGCCATCAGGTCCACTTGGAGGGCCTGGATGTGCTGGGCAGGGACACTGTGGGAGCTGGACACTGTGTATGTGTGGGACATTGTGTGTGCTTGCAGCCACTGTAGGTTGGGCATCCCCAGGGACACATCCCATGGCATGGACACACATCCCAAACATGGACACACATCCCATGGCATGGACACACATCCCAAACATGGACACACATCCCAAACATGGACACACATCACCAAACATGGACACACATCCCAAACATGGACACACATCCCAGACATGGACACACATCCCAAACATGGACACACATCCCCAAACATGGACACACATCCCAAACATGGACACACATCCCCAAACATGGACACACATCACCAAACATGGACACACATCCCAGACATGGACACACATCCCCAAACATGGACACACATCCCAGGGCATGGACACACATCCCAGACATGGACACACATCCCAGGCATGGACACACATCCCAGACATGGACACACATCACCAAACATGGACACACATCCCAAACATGGACACACATCCCCAAACATGGACACACATCCCAGGGCATGGACACACATCCCCAAACATGGACACACATCCCAGACATGGACACACATCCCAGACATGGACACACATCCCATGGCATGGACACACATCCCAGACATGGACACACATCCCAAACATGGACACACATCCCAGGCATGGACACACATCCCCAAACATGGACACACATCACCAAACATGGACACACATCCCAGACATGGACACACATCCCCAAACATGGACACACATCCCAGGGCATGGACACACATCCCAGACATGGACACACATCCCAGGCATGGACACACATCCCAGACATGGACACACATCACCAAACATGGACACACATCCCAAACATGGACACACATCCCCAAACATGGACACACATCCCAGACATGGACACACATCCCCAGAGTGTGGGTACACATGCCCAAGGGCAGCAGGCAGTGGCAGCAGCCCCGTGGGGCTTCTCTCGGGCACTACAGGCTGGGTATCTCATTCATGGCACAGCTGGGTTGTGGCCCTGGCTCAGACCCAGTTCCAGCCCTACCCCAAACCCTTCCTGAACCCTCCCTGGATGCACAGCCCTGCATCAGGCAAGCCCTAGCCCTGGGGGAACTGAGCACCCACCATCCTCTGGCTCCATGGACCTCCTTTCACTGCTCTGCAGCCGTGGAAGCACCACCACAGCCCGTGGAACAGCTCCAGCAGGACCCCCAAAGCACCATCCCCCCTCTGCAGAGCCCCCTCTCCTCTCCAGGCCATGGAACAGCTCCAGCAGGACCTGATGACCCCCAAAGCACCATCCGCCCTGTGCCAGAGCCCCCTCCCCTCTCCAGCCCTGGGGCAGCCCACCCAGCAGCCTGCAGCCCCCAGCCCATGCTGGGTGTCTCGAGATGAGGCAGAGAGGAGCTGTTGATCCAGAACAGAACAGAACAGAACAGAACAGAACAGAACAGAACAGCTGCTCTGGAACTGCGCCTTCAGGGCCTGGGGGCACGCCGGGCCACAAGGGCCGTGGCAATCAGAAGTGAAGGTTCTGTTTATTGGTGCTTTGCCTGCCCACAGCAGAGGCACAGCAAACGCTGTGTTCAGGGGAGCATGCCCAGCCTGCAGTGCCCAGCTCTGTGCCCCTGGCACAGCCAGGGCCAGCCCTGCCCCACTCGCACTGCTCTCTTCCCTGGGATGAGCCATGGGGAAGGTCAGAGCGACACTCGGGGCAGGAGCACGCTGTGGGCAGGGCTGGGAAAGGGCTGAGCACGGGTGGGCACAGCTGCTGCATGGCACGGTGAGCAGAGCCAGGCCTGTCCTGGCACCATCCCCTGCCCGGGGCAGCTGTGCCCATAGGGGCTGGTGCTCCCCTGAGGGAGGAGCAGGGGGGCTGCTGCAGGACCCTGCGTGCCCTGGCCTGCCCACGCCATGTGTGCCCACTGCCAGGGCACGGGCTGGGCACTGCCAGGGCTCAGCCGGGCACTGCCAGGGCTCAGGGTTCCTGTGGGATCAGGCCGGGCACAGCTGGGCACTGCCAGGGCTCAGCTGGGCACTGCCAGGGCTCAGGGCTCCAGTGGATGAGGCCGGGCACAGCTGGGCACTGCCAGGGCTCAGCTGGGCACTGCCAGGGCTCAGGGCTCCAGTGGATCAGGCTGGGCACAGCTGGGCACTGCCAGGGCTCAGCTGGGCACTGCCAGGGCTCAGGGCTCCAGTGGATCAGGCTGGGCACAGCTGGGCACTGCCAGGGCTCAGCTGGGCACTGCCAGGGCTCAGGGCTCCAGTGGATCAGGCTGGGCACAGCTGGGCACTGCCAGGGCTCAGCTGGGCACTGCCAGGGCTCAGGGCTCCAGTGGATCAGGCTGGGCACAGCTGGGCACTGCCAGGGCTCAGCTGGGCACTGCCAGGGCTCAGGGTTCCTGTGGGATCAGGCCGGGCACAGCTGGGCACTGCCATGGGACTCAGCTCCTGCCTCACATCCGATTCGCCTTCCAGGACAGGTAGCAGTTCCAGACGATGGCAACACACTGGACAACAGCCAGCCTGGGCACAGAGGGGACACAGAGGACAGGGTCTGCAGCTGCCAGCTCAGGGGGCAGGGACTGGGCACCAGGGCCACAACCCTACCTGTGCTGCAGAGGCACAAAGTAGAAGTTGGCGATTTGCACGGGTGGCCAGATCTGGGCAGAGAAGGGGAGGAGAGGTGAGGAGCCCTGCCAGGGTCCCTGTCCCACACCCAGCCCTGCCTGGCACTCAGGGCGTCCCACAGAGCCCACGGCAGGGGCAGGGACAGGGACAGGGACAGGGACAGGGGCAGGGACAGGGACAGGGACAGGGGCAGGGGCAGGGACAGGGGCAGGGACAGGGGCAGGGACAGGGACAGGGACAGGCACACAGACAGGGACAGGGACGTGCCAGCACTCACACAGTAATTGGTCACCAGGGCATCCAGGTAGTCCTGGAAGAGAAAGGAAGTGTGAGCACTCAGAGGGCCCCGTCCCTGCCACTGGTGCCCAGCTGCACTGCTGGGCACGGAGGCGCTGCAGCCCTGGCCGTACCCTCCACAGCCATGAGCGTGACCAGAGCCATCCCCCCCGAGAGCCCTTTGTGCCACGGCCAGGGCACACGGCTTGTCCCCCAGGGTGGGCTGTGAGCCCTTCCCAGCTCAGTGCTCCCCAGGCCCCTCCTGGGCAGCAGAGACGGAGCAGGGCACTGAGCTGGGCACTGCCTGGGAGCCCAGGGTGCTGCGGTGTCCTGGTGCCACAGCCATGGCCGTGTCCCAGCCCTGTCCCCCAGGCAGCAGGACGTGTCCCAGCCCTGTCCCATGGCAGAGGATGAGTCCCCGGGCAGCCTGGCCGTGTCCCAGCCCTGTCCCAGGACAACAGGACGAGTCCCCGGGCAGCCTGGCCGTGACTCAGCCGGCAGGGCAGGCTCCTGGAGGCGCTGGCAGCAGCCCAGCCCGGGGTGATGGATGCTCTGCTGACGCTTCCTCTGCGTGGGGACAGGCGGATGCGCCCCCAGCCAGGGCTGAGGGTGCTGCCAGTGCTGCTCCAGTCCAGCCAGCACCCCCGTCCTGGCCAGGGATCCCAGGGCCACAGCCTGCACCAGCCACCAGCCACAGCAGGATGCCCTGGGGAAGGCAAGGCAAGATCCACGGCATGAGCTGGTCAGGAACAGCAGGGCAAGATGGATGGAGTGCTCATGAAGTGCTCGTGCAAGGCAAGATCCATGGCATGAGCTGGTCAGGATGAGCAGAGGAAGATGGATGGAGTGCTCAGAGCGCTGCCTGTGCCCACGATCTGTCCACGCGTGCCCTCAGGGAGCTCAGAGCACCCCATGCCCGGCTGCGGCTTGCACAGAGCCTGAGGAAAGCAGAGCTGATGTGATCCTGCCCCAGGATCTGCCTCCTGCACTCTGGGGCAGGATGAGGGGCACGTGCTGGCAGGCCAGGTGTGGCAGGCTGGTGACTGGGTGCCCATGCAGAGGAATGATCCCAGGGTGGTGGCACTCAGCTCCAGCCAGGCTGGCAGGCCAGGTGTGACATGCAGGGTGCCCATGCAGAGGAATGATCCCAGGGTGGCGGCACTGGGGCAGAGCTCCAGCCAGGCTGCGCCGTTCACGGGCAGCCCCAGTGAGAGAGGCCGGTGTTGCTGTCCTGGCAGCCACACGACCACCCCACGGTGCCTCATCCTGGGGCAGGTGGGCACCCGCTCCCCAGTGACTCACCCTGCACACGCTGACTCAGCGTCCACACCGGTTCCCAGCAATTACCGTTAATGGGAGTCATCTCGGTAATTGCTCCGGAGCCCCAGCCAGAGCAGGGCTGGACTGCACGCCCGTGGCACCCGTGTCAGGCCCAGGTGGGACCCAGCACTCGCCCACAGGACTCCCGTGCCAGAGGAACTGGCCCTGGCACCAGCACTTGGGCTGGCAGCACTGGGCACCCAACACCCCAGGGCCGTGGGTGCCATGCCTGGGCACGGACACCAACGGGAGCAGCCAGCAGGGCCAGCCCAGGAGGAGCTGCCAGGGCCCCACAGTGCCCAGAGCAGCAGCAGCAGCAGCAGCACTCACCTGCTGGATCTTGGCCCAGTTCTCCTGCAGCGAGAGCCCGTTGGTGGCCCCTGTGACAGCCAGGAAGCAGCCAAGGAAGCACGGAGCGAAGCCCCCCTGCCAGAGAGGAGCCCGGGCCGATGTGAGGAGCTCGTGGTGCTTGGAGCCAGGCTGGCCACGGGCAGCTTTGAGCAAATGCCCACCCAGCCCTCCATGGCACTGAGCTGGGCCCAGCTCAGGCACTGGGCTCCCAGAGCAGGCTGGACACCTGGCACAGGTCAGTCCTGTGCCCACTGCCCAGCCCCACACAGCACCCTCAGCATGTCACACCAACCTGGTCCAGGATCACCTTCTTCACAGCCACAACTTTTGTGTTCCCTGGGATGAGCCAGTCCAGGATCCTGTACCAGCTGCCCACAACAGGGCCCTGCAGGAGCCAGCGGGTGAGGAGCAGCCTCTGTCCTCAGGGGTCAGGGCTGGGGCCTCCAGGGCTGGTTACACGGCCCTGCTCCAGCTCTGGACCACAAACACAAGCTCATCCTATGCTGCTCCTGCTCCATGGAACTGGCCCTGCCCATGGCTGCTGGAGTGGCACCAGGATGGCCCAACTCACAGCCCACCACCCCAGGCACCTTCAGCAGGCTCCCAGCCTGCTGAAAAACCCTCCCATCCCAATATCCCATCCCACTATCCCATGCCATGATCCCATGCCATGATCCCATGCCATGGTCCCGCCCCGCCCATCCCCACTCACCACAAAGCAGAAGCCAATGCCCATCATTTTCAGGGTGCGGGGACACTGGTGCCCATGCAGCCCCCGCTGCTCCACCAGCTGCTGTGCAATCACATCCCCAGCTCCCATCAGGGCCCCTGCAACCAGCACGGCCCACTCAGGCAGGCCAGGCCCCCGTGTGCCCCCTGCCCAGGGTGCCTGGGCCTGCTCAGCCCTGGTGGGGCTGTCCCAGTTGCAGCTGCCACGGCCTAACCAAACCCCATGGCACCAAACCCCATGGCACCAAACCCATGGCACAGGAGTCCCACCCTGCCAAGTGCCTCAGGGCTCTCACTGCAGCATCTCTGCTCTAAACGGTGTCCAGCTGCACCTGGACATGGGGCCGACCCATCAGCCAGGCTCCACGGTGCCCTCAGAGCAGAGCCTGCCCAGCTGCTGCCCATGATCTGCACGGCAGCCTCTCCCTGGGCACCGGGCAGGCTCTGCCCACTGTGATCCCTCTCTGCCCACCGTGATCCCCTCTCCCTGCAGACCAGCTCTCTGCCCGGGCCGGCTCTGCCCACCGTGATCCCCTCCCTGCCCGTGTCCCCCGCCCCACCAGCCGGGCTGGGCACAGTGTGTGCTCCCCGCTGCCCAGGCTGCCCCTGGCCACAGCCGGCAGCTGGCACAGCTCCTGGCCCCGTTCCTGACCGGTGTCCTGGTGGGGCGCTGCCCGGCTGGGGCTCTGGCAGCTCCCGCTCCATCCCACACCCCTGACCCCTTCGACGCAACTCAGCTGGCCCGGTGCTGCCCCTGCAGCTGCTCCCCGGCCCCGGCGGCTCCCGCTCCCTCTCCCCGCTCCCCCGGGACGGTTCCCTGGCAGGTCTCCAGCCCCGCTGCTGCTCTGCTCCGTCCCGGGAGCCCTGGGCCCAGCAAACCCTCGGCCTGAGGGGTGCAGCCCCAGCAGCCCCTGCCTGACAGCCCCAGGGTTGTGGTACCAGCCCTGTCCCGGGGACTTTGTCAGCGGCTCCTCATGGACAAGGGCCCAGCTCCCTGTCCCCACGCCATGCCAGGTGGTCCCTGAAGCTCACCGGCATCGCCAGCCCGGGCTCTGCAGCCCCACAGAGCACCACTGCTGCTTCACAGGCTCCATGTCCCACCCCCGACCAGCCCCAGGATCTGGGGGTCTGTCCCCTGCACCCCCCATGACGGCAGATCAGCCCCTCCAGCTCGTGGGCCACAACGGCACCGGGCAGGGGATGGAGGCAGGCATGGGACTCCAGGCCAGAACAGCCAGAGCTCCGGTGCTGGCACGGCAGCACTGCCTGGAGCTGCATTCCTTGGAGCTGCATTCCTTGGAGCAGCACTGCCTGGAGCTGCATTCCCAGAGCTGCATTCCTTGGAGCAGCACTGTCTGGAGCTGCATTCCCAGAGCTGCATTCCTTGGAGCAGCACTGCCTGGAGCTGCATTCCCAGAGCTGCATTCCTTGGAGCAGCACTGCCTGGAGCTGCATTCCCAGAGCTGCATTCCTTGGAGCAGCACTGTCTGGAGCTGCATTCCCAGAGCTGCATTCCTTGGAGCAGCACTGTCTGGAGCTGCACTCCCAGAGCTGCATTCCCAGAGCAGCACTCCCAGGAGCAGGGGCACAGCTCTCATGGAGACCACAGCAGGCACTGCTGTTACTCATCCAGTGCCGAAGGCTCCGGGTACAGTGCCCACAAGTGATGAGGCTGTGAGGAGGGACAGGCCTGTCTGTGCATCTGCAACCATTCCTGGGGCTGGGGATGCAGCCAGATCCAGCCCCCTGCAAAGACTTTGGCAGCAGTGCCTGCCCAGGGTGCCACCAGCACTGCCCAAGCACAGCTCCTGTGGGGCTGGAGCCTTCATCCCAGACTAACCCAGGGTGCCACTGGCACTGCCCAAACGCAGCTCCTGTGGGGTTGGAGCCTTCATCCCAGCCTAGCCCCGTGCCCAGGGTGCCACTGGCACTGCCCAAACGCAGCTCCTGTGGGGCTGGAGCCTTCATCCCAGCCTAACCCCGTGCCCAGGGTGCCAAGCTGACCCTCAGGTCCATGTTCTTGTGGCCAGAGGACTCTGAACGGGGCCCAGACCTAAGTAGGGCACCTCCATCTCCTTGGCCATGGCAGTGCCCTGGCAGCAGCAGGGCGGGCACTGCTCTCCACAGGCAGGGGACAGCAGGTCACAGCTGCAGGCACGTGCTGCTGCTGCCCACTGAGTGCAGGCCCTGCTGGCAGCCTGGCCCAGGCCCAGCATGCAGGAGGCAGAGCCCTGCTGACCCCAGCCCTGGGACTGCAGCGTGGCCAGCAAGGGTGCCCGGGCACAGAGGGCACGGCCAGCTGCCAGCAGCGCCCTGGCGTGGCCCCAGCTGGCAGCACGGGGTCCCTGGGAGCAGCAGGACAAGGCTGGAGGCCGGGATGGAGCTGGCACAGGGCACGGGAAGCTGCACGGACACTGCACAGGCAGCAGGTGAGGGGCTGAGCCTGGCCGTGGTGGGGATCACCTGTGGGAGCTCCGAGGAGAGCAGGAGCGAGGGAGCGGGGAGAGGAGAGCAAGAGCGAGGAGAACAGGAGCAAGGAGAACAGGAGAGAAGAGAGCAGGAGCGAGGAGAGCAGGAGCGTTCCTCGTGGCTGGAGCAGGGAGAGCCGAGCAGGGAGAGCCCAGCCCCAGGCCGGGGCAGCCATGTCCAGCAGCAGCCCAGCAGGCACAGAGGCCGTGCCCGGCCCTGCAGGCGGGCAGAGCCCGGGGCAGGGCTGTGCCACAGCTCCCAGGGAAGCAGCAGCAGGCAGAGCACAGCCCGGAGCCAGGCCGGCAGGGGAGGCGAGGGCAGTGCCCGCCCCGGGCAGCCCCTCCCAGCCTCTGGCCAAGCACAGCGGGCCGTGCTGCCAGCAATCGGCTCCGTGACAGCCGATAAAAATAACAGCGGGAACAGCTAAGCGGCCTGGCAGCGCCCCAGGCAGGGGGGGCACCGTGCCACCCCCCTGCTGCCAGCGGGGCTGAGAGCCAGGGGCTGAGGGGCTGCACAGGGAGGGGAGCCCCCAGCTCAGGATGGGCACCCCAGAGCCCCCAGCTCAGGATGGGCACCCCCAGTTCAGCAGGGGCAGGGCAGGGGTGACAGGGGGGCTGCAGCAGGGGGGGCAGCAAGGAGCATACAGGGACCCCCCAGCTCCCACCCACCCACAGCACAGCCCCTGCTGTGACTTGTGACTGCCCAGGGTTACAGCTCAGCATCCATCCCTCCAGGTGGGGGGGGGCCGGGACAGTGTCCCCCCGGGTCTGGGTGTGAGTGTCCCCCTGGGACAGTGTCCCCCCGGGTCTGTGGGTGAGGGCTGCGCCTCCTGACAGTCCCCACGAGCGCTCTGGCTCCAGCACAGAGCCCTGACAGAGCTGTCCTGAGTCTGGAGCTCCAGCACAGAGCCCCTGGCACAGATCTCCAGAGCCAGCAGTGGGCCACGGCCCTTCCCTAGTGTGACATAAGGGGTCCCTGCCGAGCCCAGGCCATAGCAGCACCTCCTCCCCCTAAGACGGCCCCCGGAGGCACTGAAGACCCCCTGCCCTGCCTCCTGCACTGTGACGGTGCCTGCACAGCGGGGCGAGGGGTGTGTGCCAGGGCAGGCTGTGGCTGTGGCAAGGAGGAGCGGCCAGGAGGGGCATGTGCAGAGCAGTCTGTGTGCCAGGGCAGGGCAGGGGCTGTGGGGCAGGGCAGGGGCTGTGTGCCAGGGCAGGGGCTGTGTGCTGAGGCAGGGGCTGTGTGCCGGGGCAGGGGCTGTGTGCCGGGGCAGGGGCTGTGGGGCAGGGCAGGGGCTGTGTGCCAGGGCAGGGGCTGTGTGCTGAGGCAGGGGCTGTGTGCCGGGGCAGGGGCTGTGTGCCGGGGCAGGGCAGGGGCTGTGTGCTGAGGCAGGGGCTGTGTGCCGGGGCAGGGGCTGTGTGCCGGGGCAGGGCAGGGGCTGTGTGCTGAGGCAGGGGCTGTGTGCCGGGGCAGGGGCTGTGTGCTGGGGCAGGGGCTGTGTGCTGAGGCAGGGGCTGTGTGCCGGGGCAGGGGCTGTGTGCCGGGGCAGGGCAGGGGCTGTGTGCCGAGGCAGGGGCTGTGTGCCGGGGCAGGGCAGGGGCTGTGTGCTGGGGCAGGCTGTGTGCCGGGGCAGGGGCTGTGTGCCGGGGCAGGGGCTGTGTGCCGGGGCAGGGGCTGTGTGCCGGGGCAGGGGCTGTGTGCTGGGGCAGGGCAGGGGCTGTGTGCTGAGGCAGGGGCTGTGTGCCGGGGCAGGGGCTGTGTGCCGGGGCAGGGGCTGTGTGCCGGGGCAGGGCAGGGGCTGTGTGCTGAGGCAGGGGCTGTGTGCCGGGGCAGGGCAGGGGCTGTGTGCTGGGGCAGGCTGTGTACCGGGAGCGGGGTATGAGCAGTGTTCCGGGGTAGGGGCTGTGTGTCGGGAGCGGGATACGGGCAGCGTGCCGGAGCAGGCTATGTGCGGGGAACGGGGTACCGGCAGTGTTCCGGGGGGGCTGTGTGCCGGGGGCGGGGTACGGGCAATGTTCCGGGGCAGTCTGTGCGCCGGGGCAGTGTTCCGGCGCAGGCTGTGAGCCGGGAGTGGAGTACAGGGAGCAGTCTGTGTGCCGGGGCAGGGCAGGGGCTGTGTGCCGGGAGGGCGGTACGGGCAGTGTTCCGGGGCAGGGGCTGTGTGCCGGGAGCGGGGCACGGGCAGTGTTCAGGGGCAGGGGCTGTGTGCCGGGAGCGGGGTACAGGGAGCAGTCTGTGTGCCCGGAGCGGGGTTACGGGCAGTGTTCCGGGGCTGGCTGTGTGCCGGAGCAGTCTGTGTGCCGGGAGGGCGGTACGGGCAGTGTTCCGGGGCAGGGGCTGTGTGCCGGGAGCGGGGCACGGGCAGTGTTCAGGGGTCCGTGTGCGGGGCCGGGGGTCTGAGGGCGCGGGGGCCGGGCCCGTCCCTTACCGGCCGTGAGCGCCTGCGCCGCCCCGGGCCGCCGCGCCAGCAGCCGCCCGCAGCCCCTCCAGAGCGCCGCCATGGCCCCGCGCGTCGCGGCGCGGTGACGCGTGTCGCGGTGACGCGTGTCGCGGCGCGATGCCGTGTCGCGACCCAGGGCGTTTATTGGTCAGTAGCGGCCCAGCACCGTGGCCAGCAGCGCCATCCGCATGTACATGCCGTTCTCCGCCTGCCGGAAGTAGGCGGCGCGCGGGTCCGAGTCCACCTCCACGCTGCGGAAACGCGGCATCAGCGTGCGCCGCACCGGGACCCGCGAGCCAACCCGGCCCGGGCCCCGAGCCAGGCCCGGGACCCCCGAGCCAACCCGGCCCGGGCCCCGAGCCAGGCCCGGGACCCCGAGCAAACCCGGCCGGGGCCCCCGAGCCAGGCCCAGGACCCCCGGGCGAACCCGGCCCGGGCCCCGAGCCAGGCCCGGGACCCCCGAACGAGCGCCGGGGCCTCTGAGCCCGCCCGCCCCGGGGTTCCTGAGCAAACCCTCCCGGGGTCCCCGAGCCCGCCCGCCCCGGGATCCCCCAGCCCGCCTCGTCCCCGGACCTCTGGCACCCCCCTGGGACTCTCAAGACCCCCCAGACCCACGCGGAAGTCCTGACACGCCCCGGACCCGGCAGCCACCGCTCAACGTGGGTCGGCTCCCCCAAGCCCAGCAAGTGCAGCCCCCGCGGCTCCGAGCTCTCCCCAGCCCTGCCCGGCACACCGCAGTCCTCCCGCCCCTGACCCCCGGTGCCTTCCCAGACACCCTCAGCACACCGCAGCTCCCATGGCCCTGCCAGTGTCCCAGCGACCCCACTACCCCAGTGACACCAGTGCCCCAGCGACCCCATTGCCCCAAGGAACCCACCGCCCCAGGGACCCCAGTGCCCTCCCGCAGCCCCCATGCCCTAAGAACCCCCCCTCTGCCCTGTATATTTCATACCCGTTCTCCCACACACCCCCTCCACACCTCCCCTGTCCCCCAGCACCCTCCCCAGCCCCGTTGCCCCCTCCCCACCTGATCTCATTGACACGGGGCAGGGGGTGCATCACCACCATCCTCTCCTTGGCCCGGGTCATGATGTGGGGTGTGAGGATGAACTTCCCGAAGCACTGAGGGAACAGACAGGGCCCTGAGCAGGGCAAGGGGGTGCCGGCCCCCTGAGGGCAGCAGGAGCCAGGGTCCCCTCACTCACAGCCTCGTAGTCCTCGGCCCGCTGGAAGCGCTCCTTCTGGATGCGGGTCACGTACAGCACGTCTGTGTCCGGCAGCGCCTCCTCGATGCTCCCGAACTCCTCCTGCACGGCACCGTGAGGTTGGGGGGACACAGGGCTGGAATGTGTGGGGGCCACCCCCCGGCGTGCCCCTCACCTGCTGGATGCCCCTGGAGGCCACGAAGCCGGTGATGTCGGCGGGCATGCGGAGCTCGGGCGGGGTGACGTAGCGCAGGTGCACGCGGTACAGCGTGAGCAGGCGCGCCAGGGAGTGCACCGTGCGCCCGTGCTTCAGGTCCCCCACCATGGTGATCTGGGGACAGCAGGACAGCGGTCAACCCGGCCTGCCCGGGGCCCCCTGAGCCCCCGGCCGTGGCTCTGCCCCCCGGCTCACCGTCATGCCATTGACCGTGCCCAGCTCCTCGCGGATGGTGAAGATGTCCAGCAGTGCCTGCGTGGGGTGCTCGCCCACGCCGTCCCCCGCGTTGATCACCGGCTTGCGGCAGTGCCTGGCGGCCAGCTGGGCAAGGCAGGGCAGTGAGGGCAGGCAGGACACGATTCCCATGGCCCCAGGGCAGGGGAGCCCAGCCCGGCCCAGCCGGGGAGCGCATCACCATCCCTGCCCTCAGGGCAGTCCCCAGTGCCCCCAGAGCAGGAGGCAGCTGCCCTGAGCCTCTCACCTCGACAGCGCCGGGCTGGGGGTGCCGCAGCACCAGCACGTCGGCGTAGCAGCACATGGTCTGCACAGAGTCAGCCAGCGACTCGCCCTTCTGCACCGAGGAGGTGGCCTCGCAGAAGGACAGCACGGAGCCCCCCAGCCGGCTCATGGCTGCCGCGAAGGAGCTGCTGGTCCGTGTGCTCGCCTCGTAGAACATGCTGGCCATCACCTTCCCCTGCAGGGCCGGGCTGTCAGCTCGGGGAGCCCCGGCACCCCGCCCGGCATGGGGGTCCCTTGGGGTGCATGGGGCTCCTCAGGGTGCACAGGGCTCCTCGGGGTGCCCAGGGGTCCCTCAGGGTGCATGGGACTCCTCAGGGTGCACAGGGCTCCCTCGGGGAGCACGGGGCTCCCTTTGGGTGCACGGGGCTCCTTGGGGTGCATGGGACTCCTCGAGGTGCCCGGGGGTCCCTTGGGGTGCATGGGACTCCTTGGGGTGCCCAGGGGTCCCTTGGCGTGCACAGGGCCCCCTTGGGGTACATGGGGCTCCCTTGGGGTGCCCAGGGCTCCTCGGGGTACATGGGGCTCCCCGGGGGTGTACGTGGCTCCCTCGGGGTGCTCGGGGCTCCCTCAGAGTACATGGGGCCCCCTTGGGATACACGGGACTCCTCGGGGTGCCCATGGCACAGGTGAGTGCTCCAGGCAGGGCTCACCTTGAGGATGTCCAGGCTGCGCTCCTTCTGCACCAGCATGCGCAGGGTGTGTGCCACGTTGAACAGGTGGGACAGCTGCGGGCACAGGCGGCACCGGGGCTCAGCGGGGGCACAGGCGGCACCACGGCCCCCAGAGCCCCCTGCCCGCCCGGCCGGGCACCTGCTCCTTGGAGAACTGCCGCACAGAGAGCACGTGCTGCCCGACCAGGGGGTGCAGCAGCGGGGAGGTCTGGAAGTGGGGGGCGCGCTGCGGGGACGTCTGGCGCGGGACGGGGCCCAGCGGGTGGAAGTGGCTGTCCTGGGTCGCTGCCGAATCTGTGGCACCGAGAGCAGCCAGTCAGCCCACGGGGGTGCCCCGAGGGGCCCAGCCACCAGCCCCAGAGCCTGCATCCCCGCTGTGGGCCCTGCTGCACTCACCCGGTTCCGCTGCCTTCCTGCTGCCCTTCTCTCGAGTGTCCTCAGCTGGGTGGGAGAGGGGAGCAGGGGTGTTAGGGATGTGGCAGAGGTGGCGCCCCAGGCCCTGCTCCTGTCCCAGCGTGCTGCCAGCGTGGCACAGCCCTGCGGGCACGCGGCTACACCAGGTGAAACCAAGATGGGTGTGACGCCAGAGTGATGGTGACCCAGAGACAGGCAGTCCGAGCCCCACGCTGTGCTGTGACCCTCGCCCTGCTCGCCCCGCAGTTCCCAGCTGGCCACCCCCAGGTCGCACCGGCAGTGAGGGTCCCCGAGGTGCCACGCAGGCTGGGGCGGGAGGGAGCGGGCGGCACGGCCGTGCCCTGTCCTACAGCGCCCGGCCCTGGTGCTGGGTGCCACAAGGGGCCCTCGGGGGGCACGCAGGCAGCCCGGGGCCTGCAGGGCACCTGGGGGAGGGGATGCACTCATGGGCTGCACGTGGTGCCAGCAGCGAGCCCCCCGACATTACCGGTGCCTCGGGCGCCCGGGCGGTGCGCGGCTCCCAGCCTCCGGAACGCTGAACGGGACACAAGGGCTGGCGTCAGCGGGGCGCCCAGCCACTGTCCCACCCAGCCCCGGAGCGCGCCCGCTGCCCGCCCAGCCCGTACCTGGCAGCTCGGGGTCCGAGGCTCGGTGGATGCGGGGCGGGAGGTGGAAGCGCGTGTCCCCCGCGGGGCCAGGGCGGCGCGGGCTGGGCGCCCGTCCACGCAGCACGTCCCCCGCCACGGGCCGGGACTCGGGGGGCTGCAACAGAGACCAGAATGGAGCACAAAGGGACCCCTGCCAGCTCTGTGCACCCCGGTACCTTCACAGTCTCAGCATGTCACCAGCCATCGGCCAGGACTGCAATGAGAGACCAGGCTGGAGCTGGGGCACAGAGGGACCCCTGCCAGATCTGTGCACCCTGGTACCTTCACAGTCTCCTTGCTGGGGGCCACATGTGGCAGCAGTGCAGCTCCTGCAGTCCATTTCCTCACATCCTGCCCATAGCCAGGGGGCACCAGCACCTGCAGCCACGGCAGGGATGGGATTAGGGAAATGGGGTCAGCACTGGGAGACCCCCTCTGTGATGGGGGCACCCTCAGTACAGGAAGGAAAGCAGCCAGGACCTTACCTGCCCATCGATGTAGGCAACCTCCCCACGCAGGACCACCCTGCGCACCGTGCCCTTGACCTGCATGCCCTCAAAGGGGGTCCAACGGGCCTTGGAGAACACTGTGCTGCTGGGGATGATCCACTCCTGCTCCAGGTCCACCTGCCAGGACAGCGGGTCAGAGGCAGAAGGGTGGGGGCTGCACCTGGGGCGGGAGGGCAAGGACACACCTCCACATAGGTGTCCTCCTGAGCAGGCAGCCCAAAGATCTTGCGAGGGTTCTCATAGAGGCGCTGCACGATGTCCTCCACGCTGAGCCTCCCCTCGGAGACGGCCGTCAGCAGCAGGGGCAGCATGGTCTCCAGGCCAGGGTACCCAGGGGGCGGCTGCTGCCCCTGCTTCTCCTCCAGCGTGTGGGGAGCTGCAGGACGGGGCTGGTCACCGGGGCTGTCCCCACCGCTTTCCCCATGGCCACCACCCGTGGGCACTAACCGTGGTCAGAGGCAAAGCAGTCGATGATGTCCATGTTCTCCCAGAGCGCCTGCACGTCCTGGCGGGTGCCCAGCTCCGGCCGCACGGCCGCACGGCCCTTCCCCAGGCGGCCCAGGTCGTCCTGGCTCAGGAACAGGTGGTGCGGGGCCACCTCGCACGTCACCGGGACCCCTCTCTGCTTGGCCGCCTTGATGAGCAGGATCTGGGGCAGCCGTGGTTAGTGGGTGCTGTGCTGTGATTTCAGGGGTTACCCCAGAACCCGGGTCCCTCCCCTGATCATTCCCTCCCAGGTGTGTCAGTCACCTCTCCTTTCCCCACCCAGCACTGTCTGTCAGTCCTGCCATTCCAGAAGGGCATTGAGTGATTGGCACATTCAAAGGATGCCCTCTACCCCTGAGGGGCATTGGGCCATCCAGGTGTCCTTTGTCCCTT